ACCAGAGAAAGTTTGAGGCTATTTACTACAGCCCGCGTGGGTACTGGAAAGGAGCTAGCGCTGTACATAAGCTGGTTAAAATGGCGCGAGTACCCCCGGAGGAGGCCAAAGTGTGGCTTGAAAAACAAGCCCTGTGGCAGATCTATTTACCGGCACCACGCTACGTGCCTAGAAGGAAATTCGGCATTAACATACCCAATAGCGTTCACCAGGCCGACCTCCTATTCCTACCCCACGACAAGAGGTACAAGTATGCCTTAACCGTCGTGGATGTGGCCAGTCGCTACAAGGAAGCCGAACCCTTGACCGCGAAAGACTCAGCCCAGGTAGCCCGCGGATTCGAACGCATATACAAACGCAGTCCGCTGACGTGGCCAACAGAGCTGCAAGTTGACCCCGGGCGGGAGTTCCTGGGTGTCGTGTCACACCTGTTAGACAAACGCGATACAAAGGTCAGGCGTGGCACGGCCGGAGCCCATCGCAGCCAAGCCATAGTTGAGAGATTCAATAGGACTTTGGCTGAGCGCTTATTTGGACATCAGTATGCGAGGGAGATGGCCAACCCGGGGAAGCAATCGACTGAATGGGTCGCTCGGCTACCTAAGGTGGTGTCGGCAATCAACCACGAAACCACCCGGCTCACCGGCAAGAAACCGGCAGACGCTATCAAACTAAAATCAATAGTGGCAGAGTCGGCTGCTCCATTGCATGGGAAAGAGAAACAGATACCAGATAGGGCCCTCGTGAGGTATCTATACCAGCCGGGGGAACACGAGGGTGATAGCCGTAAGCGAGCCACCAATCCTATATGGTCAGTCAAAACTTACAACATAGATAAAGTGGACATGAAAGCCGACGAGCCGAACTTGTACTACTTGAGAGATGGGCCAGGGAGAGGGTTTGTTAGAGAAGAATTATTGATCATACCGTACGGCACAATATTACCTCCTGCCAACGTGACATAGTGCCACGTGTGGGAGGGAAATCAACGGGGGCTCAAAAGTAGTAGATGCAATGGTAGCAAGAACTAAGGGCCCGACAAAAGCCTTATTTGTGAAATAAGGCTTTGCAGAGGCTTTTGTTGGACTTGGTCCAGGACTATCATTGTATATACTACTCTTTTAAGTATCGAACTGAGAAAGTGACTCGGTAAGAAGAATGTGTGGTGAAATAGACAAATGAAATTATATAAACAGTTAAATCGGTAAACTACTGTCATAACATATAAAAAGCTCGCGCCTGTGAAATATCAACAAAACATTAGAAAAATAGTTCACACCAAAGCCTTCACCGAGTATTCACCGCCAGCAAAGGTTTTCTGTCTTGAAATGTCGAACGCCTCACTGACACATAGCTGAGTAGATCTAGATCTTAACAAGCTTCTTTTATGTAATGAGTAGATTATTTACTATTTGTTTTGATTAGACTACTCCTGCTCATGACCTTATAATCCAGACAACCACACATGCGCAAGGCGTTGGCAAGAATCTTTCCTGGTAAGGCCAGGGCAACTGGAGCTTGGTCCTTCAGTTGGGATCGGAACTTGGTAACCTCTACTGCTGTCTTGCCTGCAGGATGACTATGTGGGTTAGTTGGTGAATGTATGACTTTCCAGTGCTCTTCTTTGTGTACATATAACCTTCGTAGCTTAACTTGACACCACCCATGTTATTCTTCAATACCTCCATGCTGGAATGCTACTGCCTGCTTAGTTTATGGAGCATATATTTATACCAGTTGTAATATGACAGTGAGTTGACAGTGAGTTGAAATACTTAATAATGTGTACATATCTAAATACTAAGTTGATTAATTAAGCTTTTAAGACTCTTGAAGTCAGTTAATCCTAATCAATAATGAAGCTTCATCCTCAATAATGTTTACAAACAAAATACTAAGTTAATTAATGAAGCCTGTTAATCCCTATCCCTGACAATCTCTATTACTGATTCAATAAAAACATGTCACTTAAGCCAATCACTCAGTAGTTAAAACATGTTTGGTTTTTTTGTCCCAGGGTCTTTTGTCCACAGGTTTTTTTGTCCTACTGTTACTGATATTTTTCACTGGGGGTATAAGATAACCTATGCTGGTTGACAGGTAACTGCTATGAATTTTTGACAAATTGTTTCCTCTTTTCGTTCACGCCTTCATACATGCTTGGGAATATGTATATGGGCCTGTGGCCTTCATACGTAATAAAGATTTTGATGATGACACTTGGCCACAAACCTTCCAGTCAATATATCACAATATGTATCCCAACACGAGCTGAATTTGACGTTCTGGTGTTTTCGATGATTGCGTTGCTGGCTCTATATCGGGGGAGTACGTACTCGATCGGTGAGCGCAAGCAATTTCATCGGCAGGGCGGATGCCCAGTCACTGTCGTGAGAAGTTGTATTGACAATTGAAAACCGGAAGTTAAGTTGTTTAAAAAGCAAACAAGCATCAATATTATTTACCTGAGATCGTTAATACCACTTCAGATGCAAAATCAATTGCCTTTAGAACAAAAAATAGCAAGCGAAATTTCAGTAAGATCATTCGTCTGCTGGTTGACAGGCAATATTTAAATAGAAAGCCACGTTATCACAACACTCCCTTGCAGTGCGGAGCGAAAAGTATGGCTCATCGTCGAAAACACATACAAAATCCATGGATGTGATGAACGGCAACAGTTTCGCCGATATGATGTCATCAACAATATTTTTGTAGGAAATACTTGATATTTTTGAGTGAAATAGATGAATATATCCATTATCACCCAAGGTTAGTAAAATTAAAACTTCAAATGATATTACAGATAAAAATTACGTTTTTGTCTTACATCGTCGAAAACCCCTGATACCGGGATATTGCAATATCTCTAATTTATTGTAATATATCGCAATATGAGAATCAGGGCAATATCCAGCCCTAGTTAAAGCCTCCAGGAACTGCAGAAATTCCAAAAACTAATGCGTTCAAGACGGAAAAAGTCTGAAGGAGATGACACATGCCTTCACTGTTCATATTCTAACACGTACACAACGTTTCACAACATGAAGACGTATTGAACTTCAATAATATCACAAATAAGCGAGAGCTCTGCCATTACGTGTCGCTACCGTGCAGCGCCACCTACTCTACGAAATGCGAGAACATCACTAAATATACCCATGGAAACAAATAAGGAAACATATGAAAGTACAAGTGTTCCTTTATTCTTTTCCAGTTTCTTCACAAGGCATGTATTGCACTGTGGGTGAAATTCTAGAAACAAATAAAGGAACACTTGTACTTTCATGTGTTCCCTTATTCGTTTCCATGAGTATATGTACAATAAACTATAGGCAACTTATACTGCAAGAATGGAAACATATTTGAAACTGCACTATTGAGACATGAGAGTCTGAACATACGTAACTGAAAATATAAGAACTCAAAATAGTATGTTTAAGGTTAGATTTCGACAAATACCTACGTATTTCAAAGTATACAGAATGAATTATTCACATTATGACTGCCTGGTTGTGGTGTTTATTATGAACCAAACTGCATGAGAACCCAAGCACACAACCTGGTTGTTGGCCATTTAACCACAACCACAAGAAACTCCCCACAGAAGAATGCACCTGCATACTGCTTAAAAGGAGAGAATGCATGATACTGGCAGGATGTAACTGAAAGATTTGCTTTTCATATCTTTAAAAACTTTCACTTGGTTGCAAGCGATTTATAATTTCAATGTTTTTAAGATGTGTTACTTGTGGCAGATTATCAAGTCAGTGTAACATTTAGATAGATGCTGACTTTTGGCTGCTTATAAACCTCCAGTGACGTCACTCTATTGTCCCGCCAGGTTCTCCTTTTACTTAGTAAACCTCTTCAGGCAGTTTCGTGGGCATTCTCCAAGAAATCCCATGGATTTTCTACAGAATTGCCCGCATCCCATGGATTTTCTGAGGAATAACCCTTGACTTATTTATTACTTGGTTTGAAGTACTTTGTCTTGCTATCACTGAATATGATACAATATCACATTATTGAAAACTTCCAGTATATATACCTGGTTTCAAACCTGCAACCCTTCCCTTACTAGCTTGGTGGTTATATCCACTAGGCTACAAAGGATCGCTGAGGAGAATGAGATTGTTTTTTAGTATGAACCATGTGTCCCTCTCAAGATGGGTAGTGCGGGCAAGGTGTCAGCTGCCAGTTGCATCCCATTTGATTTCAACAGTAAATACCAAATATTAAAATTATATCTGAAATATATCTTCGGTCGGTTCATAAGTTGGATCAAAACCTCCTCCTTGGTTTTGTTTGAAAAAGTAAGCCCTTGGCCTCGTGAAATCGGGTCAGGCCTATCGGCCCTCCCCCATTTTCTCTGCCGCAGGCTTACTTTTTCAAAAAAAAACTCGGAGACGGTTTTAATCCTTTACATATAGCATAACTATCTGTACTGATGACCATATAAAGTTTCTTGATTACTGGTTTCTATCTCTTATAATAAGGAAATAATGTGCAAAACTAGTAAGGTTGAATTATAATTTGGTTTTAGTTAGAACTTAGAAAGTTAGAGATTTGAGGGGTTCAAGTTCATCCTAAGTTCTACTACTACTTGTTATTATTAAAGCAATAAAAAGTTGTTGTTCATAAAATGTTTCATGTCTTATGTTGACATTTTAGACTGTTGACTACCCGGTACATACTTTGGTGAGCTACAGTGCAATGGTACAATATTTTTTCACTGGAACTGCTGAAATTTGGTCTATGATATCAGTTTAACATTTTCCCCTCTACCAACATTTCAATCAGATCAATTTTGTGTTTGTATGTATAAGCATGAAACCTAACAAGGATGATTCCATCTAGATTTGTACTCTCTATCCATAGTCAAAGGTGGTTGACAAGATGTGGCCTTTAATACTCAAATTATGGAGAAAATTGATGTAATATGTCAGTAAACTTGTGTTCTGTAAGACATATCATCATTTTTTAAACATCATTTTCAGGTTACAAATTATCTACTTGACCCATTGAACCTACTTGATGAGGAACAGACTTACAAGGCTTCACTAGACATAGAGCCCAAACAGTCACGATTGTCAGTTGTAGCAGCACCACAATGAATAGCATGTGAAACCTGTTGTGTGACTGACACAGAATTCGAAATACTGTGAAGAGCATCGAGGCACCACCAAATCTCATCTCAAATGCTGTGGTTGTCAGCATACAAAGAACATCATGAACTGTTATGAAGATGTAACAAATGTTATGTTTAGGATTACATTTTTTCAATAAAGTACAAAGTGTCCAGTAGGGACTCAATGCCCCCCGAAGTACCAGAATCTACTGGGAAAATGTAATCCCCAATATAGCAGTTGTTACATTTGACCTCACTACAAGGCATTGTGTATATATTTTATCTGTCAACATTTTCAAAGTGCAGCAGGTTCAGCAATGACAAAGTTTGTATTGTTCTCTCAAATTGTTTATTGGTATGTGGATGTGAACAAATACTGTTCAGTTTAAGTCAAGATTTATAAACATAGTAGTGAATAAGATGAAAAGTTACAATGTTTTGATAATAGTCATTTGGCTGGTAACCACCCAAATGTTTTCATTCCATGTCTTCCTGTATACATACAACCCATTCTAATGTACTCAAAGGCAAAAGTAATTGTGAAAAATGAAGAGAATCTGTAAGTCCATCTAGAGACCATTATAACCATTTTCATAGAGCTACATGTTTAACTCTTTCAAATTGATGTACTCAGTTGCCACTATAATACTGATTTCAAATACAGTGAAGAGAGACAGAAAAATAGGAATGAAAACCACAGCTAAGCCCCCTTTAACTCTTATGGCCACACAATGTTATAATATACTCAACCAAACTAAAAACTTGGCATTTTACATTATTATTATGATAATAGATATGTATCATACTGCTATCATCCACACAACAATATAAACAATGATTGCGTGTTAAAAATTCACACTTCTTTGAGTGACATTTATAAACTGGTCAGATGAACTGGAATGATTTCTAATGGATAGATAACTTCTTTATTGCAATGGATGTGACATTTCGATGTAGATGCTAATACCATTATCAAGGAAGAGATACACAACATCATGGACAAGGAGAATATACACAGAAAGGATATGTAAGTTTATACAGTTAACAAGGTTGATGAACTGTGTGATGACATTACTAATTGTTGTGATTATTGATAATGGTTATGAAGCAATGAGTAGGGGCTGCTTTATCTTGATTGTCCTTGATTTGATGATGGTAAGCCTTAGGGATGTAATAATCTTGATCACACTGAAATATCACATCCATTGCAATAAATAAGTTGTCTATCCATAAAAAATAATTCCTGTTAAAAATTCACACTGATAAAACTGTTGGAACAGAAGAAATGTTTAACCACCAACATTACTTGTGATATCAACACAACACCTCCTCATGGACAGGAAAACCTGTTGGAACACTAACCAGAAGTTGTCACCATTGGTGAACTGGTTCTTGTCAGATTCATCTGCTGTCACATTCACCTTCCCAGCTCCTCCCAAATGTGTTCTTTTGGGTTCAAACGTGTGGAATGAGAAGGTCAGTCCATGATATCAATGCAGTGTTGCATGTCAGAATGGCAGTATGGGGCATAGCATTTTCATTTTGAAATGTCAGTCCAAGACCATGTAGTGAAAGGTGATGCCTTAGATAGCTCGCCCATCATGCCCCTATCTACTGGTACTTAGTCTGTGATGCAATTCCATTTGGCTTTTTTCTGAGATAACAGTTGATGGTGCTCCATATGTGAAGTATTTCTGTAACACAATATGGTTGTATGTCCATCAAATGCCAGTTTTACCCCTTAGTGGATTGTTCTGAATAGGTCCTCAATGCTGAATTCTTCTTGAACCAGCCCACTAATTAATATGTTGATGACTACAATGTGTGATCTGGTTGAATGTGTGACACAATGACCAGAGGGCATTGGTCATTCCTCAAGCTGTCAACTAAGATTTTGCCTTGTCTTTGACACTCCACCATGATATAACCTGATTATTCCTGACAGTGGTACAATACAATATACTTTCAATGAAAATCTGTAGCTCTCATGGAGCAACCACCTACCATTAGAGTTCTGTTCAGGCACAGAAAACATCTAGAGCTGACTTTCGTCATATTGAAAAATCTTGTAACTTAAATCAGTTGTCCATCTCATAGAAGCTTCTGCAGATTTTGCTTGGATGATGTTTTCCAGACTTTTCAGAATTCTCATTTTCCCTAAGACTAAGGTACTGCTTCTTTTCTTCAGTTGTGTTACTTTTGGGTGTTCCATTAAGTGTTGTAATAGTATGCTTTTTAAGACAACTTTTGTAAGGTATGGATCCAAACCTTGTAGTGACCTGGAAATAAATCGCATTATTTTCAATGTTTGCTTATTCTTAAAGAACGAAAAACTTATGAAGACATGTGGTTAGTCTTAAGCGGAACATCAAATTCATTCTTAAAAAACGCGTGGTTACTTAATACCGAGCTATAAAAAGTTGCCAAAAAGTCGTCTGCTTTTCTCTTGCCTGCCAACGAAACCACAGAGAGGTTACGAAACTCTGTCGCCAGAGCACTGCAGTGAACCGGAAGTGACGTTATGTGAGGAAGGATTTTCAGTTAGTTGTATATAAAATGTGTAACAAGCTCGTCATTTTGCTGATTTCTTGACGTCAACGAAGACATGCCAAATCGTTGCGTTGCAGTCAATTGCTCCCAGTGGTTGGGTGATGGTGTCACCATGCACAGATTTCCACCGAACCCCGCAGTTCATGCTAAATGGTTTATATTTGTGAGTGTGAAGCGAGCGTTGTGGAAGCCTGGAACATATCTTATACAGCAAGACATTTATTCCGCAATATTGTCACTTCGAGAAATTGTTATGTTATAACAGTAAATGTATATCAGCCTCCCTGGTTATAAGCTATGTCATGCAAAATCCTATTGACCATCAATCAAATACATATTTTACTACCAGTAGAAAGTAGTTTGATTTTGTAACTCGGTGAAAACAAAGCTAAATAGCATTTATTCTCACATTGGCAGATGTTCGCGACAGGGCGCCACCATTTTTTAACATCGTGACGGTTCGGGCTAAAGTCTGTTCGAGAATCAGTGAGATTATGGTTTGTTTTTATCAAGTTAGAAAATCAAAACTACTTTCTATTTGTAGTTAAATATGTATTTGAATCATGACCCAAAGGATTTTGCATGACACAACTTATAACATATCGTTTTCTTCCACGGAAGAAAGGTGGGGTCGAAGTGGGGTCGAAGTGACAATGTTGCGTGATAAATGTCTTGCTGTATACATTCACTTGGTTCACGTCCACTCACCAGTATGTAGATACTAGTTGATCTTCTTCCTGTAACCGTGATGAGCGGGGCTGATCATCGTTTTTACTATCACTAGCGTCTGGCTCAAACAAATAAGGCCTAGCGACAACAAGCGATTTTGACAGAATCGTCTATGAAAACAAGTTGTAACTCAGAAGCTAGGCAAAGCATATGACAAGATTAAATGATAGTAGATTGTGAAAACATAAAGCTTTCACTTTTCACAATTGTCACAATTTCAGAAATGGTTTAGACAAACCTGGAAACAAGATGATTTACCCCCGGAAATGTACATGAATTCTAAAGCACCCCTCGTATTTATACCTCTCAATAGACCATTCTTAGCCAATATGCATGACCTCGAGGTCAAATCGAAAGCGAGGCTTAAATAGGTTGACCCAACCTTGAAATTGGCGACCTCGAAAAGGAAAGACTACTGCTGTGTGCCTTTGCGTTGGAGTGATGCCCGTAAGGATTTTACGGTATCTTTTCACCATATTCCCAAGAATGAGATCAGAAGAAGGCAGTGGTTGACGAAAATACGGAGAGATCCTGGAAAATGATTCATAGTAAGTACAAAATAATTACGGCACATGGCATAGTCTACATCTGCCGTGTAATGTACAAACTGTTCACTATGCAAGGTTTTAATATTAGGGGCACATGTACAATGTGAATGTCACACACACAGAGACACATTCAAACCCAACCCCCACCCCACCCCACACACACATTGTCATGTTCAAAATCAGTGATCACCCCCCTAGTTCATATGTACACAATTGGCCCCTCCCCCTGCCTCCCAAAACAAACTGGGAGACACCCCAACCCCCACAAACACCGCACCTAAAATCATCATCACCCCCCTAGTCATAAAATGGTCCAATATATTAAAAAAATTAAGCATATGGACATATGGAGACACTCTTGTCATGATGGCAAGGGAATTTTATTTGCAAATATTCTGTATCAGTGAAATTAGATTGGCTGCAAATCAACGTAACATTTCAAGTACATGTATATGCAGGACACACACATAATGTACATGTACTTTCAAAATTACTACATACTGACCAGTACTTCAGGGATACAGGACATATTACTGAACAATCTAATTACACCAACTGAAATATATTTAGTGTTTAAATATCCATTTCAGATGCTGCTAATTAAGAGTCAGAGAGCATGTCACCAGCTCAGGAACCTCCCATAAGGAATCTACAACAGTCACCATCTCAGATACAGTAAGAATGGCAGATAGTATGAAGTTAATTTTGCCAACTGACATGGTTTTAAAGAATTTAATACAACTGAACTTTGACCTATATGCTATGTTATTTACATATAAATATTGATTGCCCATACTGTCTAAAATATGAAATGATGTTAGCCTCTATTCCTTTGATGTATATTTGTAATTCCAGAGTTGTATTTATTGTTTGTGTGGTTGAAGAGATAATAGTGATGCTTTACAATGCTTATATTACAGTGAAGCAGAGAGTGATACAGCAGCCACTGACCCCAGTCCAACATGGAACAACTCCAGCAAAACTTACATGAACAGGGGAGGCAACTCAAGGAAAAGGTTGACAAAATAGAAAAATTGAACAGAAAACTTGAACTTGAAAAGTTTGGAGTTTGTAAATTCATGTATGATGATAAAAATTGATTGAACATTTTACAGTATTCCATCATTTCAAACATTGGCACTGATTAGCTGGAACTTTTTCATTTGTTGAATATCTTCCCAGGTTTTGTGAAGTACCTTGCCCAAACAGCACAAAAATTGACAGACATGAATGTAAATGAAATTGTTTGGTGCTTTTGTGTTGTGTAAATGATGAATGAAAAAAGAGACAGCTGTAAATACATACACATTGATGGATTTAGCTGAATAATAGAAGGGTCTTTCATAATGGCGTAGTTGTAGATGT